AACATGAGGCGGCTTGGTGCAGCACATTCATTTGCCTGGAAACGTCACAAAGGAGATTCAGCTGGGTTCCAGGTGAGAGAATACCGACAGGTTGGAGTACCTCAGCGGTGTTCCAGATATTCAAAAAGGGTGCGAGACAACGTAATCAACACTATAAATCACGCGTCCATCCAGTAGTCCTTGCGCCCAGTTGCTCTCTCTATGCAGGCCGACCTATCACCGAAGAACCACGTTAGCAGGAAACAGTTTGGGTTTGGTCCTGGTCGAGGTTGCATCGATCATGATCCTACCTTCATCATTCTCATTATTCAGTGTAACGTCAGTGTCTACCATTGATGCTTCACTGCCGTAGGTCCCACCCTGACAGCACATAAGCAGGAAGTGCGCCACTTTTTTCGAGACAGGTAACGGTCGCTTTTCTCGACCCTAAATCTATTTTTCATTTCGTTTATCGTCAGATCACGTACATACATCGTTCAGCTGTAGCAACCTTTCTATGCCTCACCGCCATGCCACCCGAAGGAAGCACGAGGGCTGGAATACTGGCAGGCTGCCCAAGCCTAGACAGGGGAAGTTGAGAGGCAGAGGTTGGGTTCAAACCACACGCTCTAACCACCGAGTCATCTTGTTACCCTATCGTCAGATACTGAAGATGGCAAACATCCATTCTAATTTACAATCTCTTAAGAGGGCACCATAGGCCTCAACTCATGAGTCTACGGCAAACTTCCTCCTGCGTTTGCAACACTCAGGTGAGGTTGTTCTATGTTGCCCTCAAATTCTTCACAGACGCGTTACTTAAATCTTGTCTACCAACATTTAGTTCCTCGGGGGTTGAAATAGTCCCTGGACGTTCGACAAGCGTTTCACACGTACGCGTAGAGTGCTAATGATATACAGGGTTGAATAAACCCCAGGGTGTAGATGAACCGATTGATATCGTGGATAACTCCGTCTATCCGGACAGCTGCGTAAGTCCTGGTGAAATGGCAAAGGACTAAACCAATTCCCGAATCAGGAAAGTCAGGAAGGCGTCTACCGACCCCTAAAATTTGCCATTTGGCTGTCAAGGGTACAGTACGCACCGCTGCGGTTCGAGCAGCTCTATTGTATGGGCCAAAGACGAGTTCACTGCATGAAGGTCTCTGAAGACGACCTGGCAAGAAAGCGTGAAGGCCTTCACCAATCAACTCAGATGTGCCAATAACTGCCGTCTTCTTGGATGGGAACAGCAGCGATGAGTCACACCACTGGTTAGTGATCCTGACACAAGGTGGCACTGTATCAAAATACTGTCTTTACTGCGTAGCTCTCACTTCCTGCCGTAGTGGACGAACAGATCCATTCTCGTCAATGCATGGATTGGGCCATCACCTCCAACAAGTGCCTAATTCCCTTATTTTCATCAACTCGGTGAATGACGTTGTAGCATTTGGAACAACTGCCCTTCGGTGCATCTTTTGTGAGCTGAAAAACGAACTGAACTATCCTCAAAGCACGTCAGCCGGGCTCCATAGCCGCAAAGCAAGACCGGACGCACTGCCGCGTTGCGGAACCCGTCTTTCACCGGAATGTTAATGTCGTGTCGACTCCAGAGGTGCCAAAGTTGAAAGCAGAACGGGCTTTATCGTTTCTGGACAATAAATCGGTCCATTATCAGCGGGTCAGCCATCGTGACCAATT